TTTTTTTTTTTTTTTTTTTTTGTTGTGGTAGTTACCTTGCTCTGTTCTATATCCATAATACTCTAGAAAGCATTCTCTTCACAGAATGTCCAAATATTGCCTTCTCTTATTTTATTTTAAAGTTCAATAAAGTGGTATTTTTTTCTTTTTCCCTGAGGTTAAAGCAAAGAATAAAACCTGCCTGAATTACAGCTTTCCACCACAATACACTCAGCATTTTCAGGAGTGTGCCTGTCTTGTAATATAACTTGGGAATCAGAGCATCCTTTCAACTAAGATTTTTGAGTTTTATATTCCTGTGGACTCTTTGGAAATATGGCYAACTTCTGAACCTTGTAGCTGCTGATTTTAACTTTGCAGACTCTCTCTTGTTTGGCATTTCAAGAGCCTGTGCTCTGCACGCAATTCCATGAAGCACTAGGAGGTGGAATAGCCTGTGCTGAGGAAAGAGGAGGAGCAGAGCAAAAGGAATCAAAACAGATACTGGCTTTGAACGACAAACCAGTGCAGCTGATAAAAATCTTTCCCATGACTTTGAAATGTGCAGGGTCAGATCTTTTACAGATGTTTATTTTGAAGCTACTGTTCTTGTTGCTTCTCTAAAATATCCCAGTCCTTAAATCCCAGACCTAACTAAATATATTGTGGGGTCCTGACTTCCCACAAATGTAGCGTAGCTACTTCAGGGTATGGGAATCCAGCTGAAGCATGTGGTAATAGTTACAGGAGATAAATGATATTGTGCATATTTATGAACAGTACTGTGAAGTTTCCAAGAGCTTGCACCTCTAAAGGTATTTGCATTTATTTGATAGTGAACAGGCAAAACAGCACAAGAAAATTGCAACCATCAGAAAAATGAGGGAGCAGGGTAGAATGCACAGTTGGTAGTCAAAGTGCCCAAATGTGAACTTGGTAATGAACATGATGTTAATATGGAGAAATAAATTAGAAAAAAATAATTGTTATTCTCTGAATAACCAGTGGAATTTTAGTGGTTTTGCATTTGTCTGAAGAGTTGTGAAGAGAGGGCAAAGGATACGGTGGTTGTGTTATGGTAATAATAATCTGAATAGCTCTATAGAAAGGAATGTCTCTGCAAATGTTGCATAGTAGCATATTCAGGTGGTAATTTTAATGAGAACACCTGTCTTGCATTTTCAAGAACTCAATTTTTTGGCAAATGTGTTACAGAGTGAAGTTTGATGAACTGTTCTATTGCGGAGTAACCTCTAGGTTTTGCAAAGTGTAGAATAATGTAAATCTTGTGGTTATGTTTTTACAAAACCTCATTAAATAGTTCACTGTTCAYGTAAAACTTCAGCAAGTACTTGAAAGTATTAAAAAATTTCTAGGTTATTTGTTTTATCATTTTTCCAAACTGGGTTGATACAAAAGCAGTCTACCTGTAAATGCAGATGTTTTTATATTCTCTGCTGTCTTATTTTTCCCCAAGTGATATTGTGATGCCATCCCTTTGGAAAGGTCTTGAAGCAGATTGAAGTCTGCATACTGAACATAAATGGTACATTGATGCTGCTCAAAGAGCATGACTAAATGATTTTTCCAATTCTGAAACATAATCTGGAGCTTTTTCAGCAGCAGCTGTTCCTGGAAGAATGATAAGCAGAAAGACTTGTTTTATGCAGCTTGAAGCCTGTCTTGATCCTAGCAGAATTTCCCCATCTATCTTGGTTATCCTTCTGCTTCATCAAGTTACGAGTTGGTGAATAACTCATGCTTTGTTTTGTTAGTCAAAGAAAATTGAAAAAAAAAAAATTATCATCATCATCATCATCACACTTTTGAGTAAATCTAAAGAGT